GAACCAAAAGGACTTGCGCAAGTGGCTTGGCCTCGCCAGCTACTTGCACAAGTATAGCACAAATTATACGGAAGTTGCACGGCCATTGTCTAGTCTCCTTAAAAAGGATAAGGAATGGTTTTGAGACAACGAATATCGGGAGACTTTTGATCGGGTCGAAGACAGCCTCCTTTATGCACCAATACTGGCGTTGCCAGACCCCGATCGTTCTATTCGTGTCATCTGTGACGCTTTTGACTTTGCCATCGGCTGTCCGCTGCTGTAAGCAGAGAGGTCAAGCGATCACGTTCGAATCATGCCAGCTTAAGACGGCGGAGAAGAACTACCCAGTCTACGACAAGAAATTTCTTGCGATGAAGTATGCACTTGTCAAGTTTAGCATGCATCTGCTTGGCTTAAAGCCACTTGTGATCTACACAGATCATGCGTCATTACACACTGCGACTCAGTCGCCACACATCTTGCAAAGGATGGCCAGGTGGCTTTCATTTCTTGCAGAATATAACTTCAAGGTGGAGTATAAGCCAGAAAAGCAGAATGCTTTGGCTGATGCGTTGTCACGCAGACCAGACTGTGAGCTTGCTCATGTCTCGACGGTGACGTCGTCATTGACGGATTTGATCCGCGCCGCATACACGGGTGATAGTATGTGTGTAGCGCTGCTACAGACTCTTGGGAGAGAGGAGTTTAGAAACTCGGACAGAAAATTGTTGGCGCGTTTGCTCGCACCGATACACCGATATTCGTTTAGTAACGAATTGTACTATTATAGCACCGAACCAACGGATACGCAACGAATTGTGGTTCCCCACGATGAGGATTTAAAATATCGTATCCTCTATGAGGACCACGACACCTCACTCAGTGAGAAGACGTACAGCTCGGTGGATTGCCACTATTGGTGGCCCAAGGTATACAAGTGGACGAGCGCATATGTGCGCACGTGTGAGACATGTTAGACTGTGAAATCTTCTCCGATTGCAGCGGCGCCGCTTGCCAGTTCACCGGGACCCTCCGGGTGTTGGCCGTCCACCAGTATGGACTTTGTGTCTGGCTTTTCGAAGGACTCGGTAGGCAACACGGGTGTGTAGTGGTCTTTGTGAACCGTTTGAGCAAGATAGCTCATCTTGCGGCAGTGCTGGGCACCATCGACGGTGCGGGTACAGCGACGCTGTTTGTCGAATGTTTCTTTCGAGCATTGAGTTTTGGAGTCAATTGTCTCTGATAAAGTCGCGCGCTTCACTGGGATGTTTTGGTCTACTCTCTCCAGGGTGATGGACACCAAGTTGACTATGTCAACAGCGGACCATCCGCAGACCGATGGTCAGACTGAGCGCGTGGATCGCATCGTCGAAGACGTTCTTCGCAGCGTCTGCGCTGAGACACGAAAGCACTGGAGTGCCATGCTGCTACTCGTAGAGTTTGCTATGAAAAATGCAGTGCATTCATCTATCGGCTGTATGCTGTTCTACGAGAACGGGCTTACCAATCCTCGCGTCCTTCTAACGCCGCCACCCCATAGCTCAGGGCTTGGTGGGGGGAAGGAATAGCCGATGTCAGCCCTCTCACAGTGCGTAAAGAAGTCGGAAACTTTCTGTCTACTAGACTGAGTGTCTTACGACACGTATGCGATGCGATGGCTGATAGCCAATACATGCAGAAGGAATATGCAGAGGAAAAGGAACAAGAAATGTTGAAAACATTGAGGTCGAAGACCTGGTTTTATTAAACGCGAAAAATCTCTCTACGCCGTAGACGCTTATGATCAGAAGGATCATGACGCTTCGCGTCGTCTTGCGCACTGCGCTTCTCGGCAGCTGCTCGGAAAGCCGGAGGGCCATGAGCTGAGCTCAAGCTATGGCCATGAGCTGTTGTGGTTGTAGATTCACCCGTGTGAGAAACCACAGAAATCACAGGAGCGTTATGGATTGTTCCAAATGTCGCAAGGCGACGATACGCAGGAAGTCGGCGTTGCGCCTTGCGTTTGGCAAATTCAATTCTAAGATCGCACTTAACGCGCACGTCGACTTTCGTATGGCTTCGCTGTTAGGTAGACAGCGAAGAAACTTTCCGGTACTCATCGTTCAAAGAGCCCGTCGGCGTCTGCAGCAGTTTTGCCAGGGGCGAGCATCACAGGAAAGGTCCACATTGCGGCAACAGGAACAGCTCGAAGTCGGGCGCGGTAACAATCCATTGGGATCTCTTGGAGCTCTAAAAAGCGAGCTCGCAGAGCGTTCTGTTGATCAAGCTCATCTTATGTAGTGGCCGGAGGCCCGACCACGTAGATGCCTAGCGATCGAGTGATCCCGTCTTTTGCTTCATTAGCGGGATCCGCCGAGCGAAAGCAGTATTTCACTCAGGGGTCTAAGACCAAACGTGGATACGAGCGCAGAAGAGTCGCGCCGTTGGCGTACTTCATCTTCCTCATCATCCCATGCTAGGAAAGGCGTGTCCGACTCGTACTCGAATTTTTCAACTCCTCGACGAGGAAATCCGTCGCCCGAGGCGAGTGCGTTAGGTTGCAGTCAGTCGCCGAGGGCTTGGGATGTGCTTCCCGTGAAGACGCAGACGTACTGTTTAGAGATGCACCCTGTGCAGAAAAAGAATACTTTTTTTTACCCGCGGTCGCCCTCGCTACCAGCTAGGCTGGGTATTTTGCGTGTCGTATACAGGGTTCATTAAGAGGAGAATGTTTGAATTTGTTTTTATGAGCGTGAAGGTGTCTCAGACACGCGAGCCTCGTATGAGGCGACCGTTAAATGTGAATTGGGATCATCACAATTTTAATTGGGGATAGTGTAACGGG